CCCAGGCTCAGGCCACTTCTCCCCAAGGAACCCTGGCAACTTTCTGAGAGGCTGGGGCACCAGCCTGGGCTCCCTGGGAGAGCTACCAGGTCACACTGGGAGATCTGCTGATAGAACGAGCTCCTCCCTCAGGTACTGGGAGCTGCCCTGTTCAGGCTCCCTGGTGACCAGGTGTTTATGGAGGGAGTCACAGTAATTCCCACCCATCCACTCACAAAGCCATGGGCTCTCCCTTGATGTCCGAGGACTTACCGAGAACCGGAACTCAAAAGGCAGATGGCAAGTGGGGCCTGAAGGGTTACATTTCCCTGCGTGGGGAGCCCGGATGTCCGGACGGCTCCCAGCGGCACCCATTATCCACTGCCCAGCAGCACGCTTCTGCCTCCCAGCTGCGGGATCTGCGGGTCAGGCGCTCTTCTCTCTGGCCACGTTGTTCTTGGCTGTTTCCTGGGACAATTAGCGCCACCTGTGAGGTGGCTTTCCTGATTCACACGCTTGCCCCCTAAAAGGAAGAAAAAGAACGGAATGTGTTTGCTAATTTTTCAGGCAGAGAGCAGCTGTCAGATGCTATGTAAGTTTATTGTCATTTCATTCTTGATAACTTTCCCTGAATTTTCAGCTTTTATTGTCTAAGTTCTGAGCCAGGAGCTGGAGGGGAGATACAGCTGTCAGACCTGTGTGGCAGGAAATTCAGAAAGCCGGAAAATAATTTTAAAATCCAGCAGTTAGAATCAAGATGAATTGTCACCTTAAGATGCAGAAAATATGAGTCAACAGGCCCCAAATGACTCCCTTTGGAAAAGTCACATCATTAGACCTTACCAAAAGTCACAAACAAAGCTAAATTCAATTGTCACTTTCTAATTTACTCTGAAAAAAAAAATGGAATGTGAACCATTTACCAATGAATATCCATTTTACTAAGTGTGTGAAGCAGAAAAATACTGCAAGTCACTTCAGGGGCCTTGGACACAGCTTTTTTAATTTTTTAATTTTTATTTTTGTTTTAACAGTGAAGTTTCTACTTTCTAGTTAAGTAACCAAATTACTTCTTACTGCTTACCAAACTTTGCTAAGGAGTGAGTTCATTTAGTCCCCAGCAAACTTTGGGATAGACCTCGGAGTTTCCCCTTTAGCGTCCAGGAGGAGCTGGCGAGTGTGGGATGGGAAGCGATTCCCCTTATGGTGACTCAGCAGTGACTCAGCTGCAGCCTCTGACCTGTCCCCCTGAACAGGTGTGTCCTACGTGCT